GTCATTCTTCACCTTTCCCCCACATACGGGCTCAGCTTACAGAGGATTCGCCTACAGGCACAAAAGCCACTTTTTCTTTCTCTCTCTCCCTTCCTCCTGCCAAACTTAAGCACTGGGGTTGGGGCTAGATAATCTCATTTTAGTCTGCTTTAGATGTCTGCACAGTTATTTCACCTCAAATGATATTCCTGAGAGGGCGGGGGTGGGCAGCAGGGATAACAACGGGTTAAACAGCTGCTGGATGTGGAGAAAAATAGCAACCTAGTAGTTGGGGATGATACCTGTGATACAATCTATGTTCTGTTCATGGGATGGGGAGCCCTGGCCTCCAGCTCCTGGACTGGGAGATCCCCGATGGCAGTTTGGTGAGAGAGGAAGCGAGAACGCTCTTAGAGACAAATTTGGGACTTGGCACCAGGAACTAACCGGTGAGCGAGTAGAGAAGTTAAAGTCTGGTTTCAGATGGTAAAAGAACTTCAGGAAGTCTCTAACATTGAAAAAGGAGTCCTGGCAGCTGAGATTAAGGCTGGGAGTTGAAAGGCTGGGAAAACCGAAAGTTTTTTTTTTTATATTAAAGAAAATACTGGGTGAGGGGCGCTTGAGTGGCTCAGTCGGTTTAGTATCCAACTCTTGGTTTTGGTTCAGGTCATGATCTCATAGTTCCTGAGATGAAGCCTTGCGTAGGGTTCTGTGCTGACAGCAAGGAACCTGCTTGGGATTCTCTCTCTCTCCCTCTCTCTGCCCCTCCCTCATGCATTCTAAATAAATAAATAAATAAATAAATAAATAAATAAATAAATAAGAAAAAAGAAAAGAAAATACTGAGTAAAAAAAAAATATACTGGGTGAGAAAGGGAGAGGAAGATTTATTGGGTTTTCATAGGGAAGTGCACTCGGTGAAGCATTTTAGAAGGTGGAGAGGGTAGTTAAGGTGAGGAGGAATACAGAAGAATAGAAGAATTGGGGTAGGTTCTGGATCTAAGCTGAGTAAGACTTTGAGAGGAGCACTGAGGGTGGTGTCTAGAATTCTACCAGGGGGCTGGAGTTGAAGAGGGTGATGTGGGTTAGAAAGGATATTTTAGGGGGAGAAACCTAGGGGTAGCTGAGGAAGGTCTGGAAGGGATGAAGAGTGCTGATGTTGGGGGAGGGTAAGGTGAACACTCGAGGAGTGTACTGGGTATTGGATGAGCTGCTATAAGAGCAGAGTACTGGAGGCACAGGGAGTGGGGCTGAGCAACAGGCTTGAGGGCGGAGTGCTGGGAAAAGTTGAGGGAGGGTAACTATTATGTATCAGGAATTGGCCTGTCCATATTCTGGGCAGGAACGCGGGGCAGTCATGAAAGTACTTCAGGGGACACCCTAGTTGGAGGGGTAAGGGTGGTGTTGGAGACATGCAGGTTGGGCATTTTTCAGGAAGAAATATGAGGGACTCTTCGGTATCAGGATGGAAGCTGGGTTACTGGAGAAAGAATTCGAGAAGGGTTCAAGATGGAGAATCCGAGCGAGCAATGGGGGGTGGCGGGTGGGGTTCTGGTAGAGAATTTGAACGTACTGAGGTTCCTCTACCAGGAGACTCTCAAAGTGACAGTATCTCCAGATTGCGTGTTACGACAGCGTCCCAGGGAGGGGGTTCGGGTGGAAGCGGGTCCAGTAGAAGAGTCGTGAGTGACTGACGGGAGTGAAGGTTGGGGCCGGTCCTGGAGGGCAGCGGGGACCGGGAAGCCGGGCTCACCTGGGCAGGCTGTCCTGGTAGTGCATGGTGGGCACGATGCTGCGCTGCAGGTACTCGCCGGACCCCGAGCCCGCGCTAAGGGGCCGACACAGGGGCCCCGGGCCAACTGCAGGGCCCCGGGGCCAGGCGCGCAGCAGCAGGCGGGCCACCATCGTCCCGGACGGCAGGAAGGCAGGGGATGGGGATTTGAGGGGACAGAGACAAGGCCGCCACCCCGAGGTCCCCGGGTCACCGGATCACCGCCGTGGGTCCGGCTAGCGTCGGTCCGCCGAGCTACTTCCGGCCCTCCAGCTCCGCCCACGAAAGGGCCAGCCGCCGGCCCCGCCCACGAACGGCCCCGCCCGCCAGCGGGCCCCGCCCATCGGCGCACCATTGGCTTCGGGGTTCCGGCCCGCTGCTGGGCGGGTAGCGACGCTACCTCTTTGCTCAACTGGTCTCTCTACTGTTCTCCCTGCTTGTCTCCCTGCTGCTCCGGAGGCGGCGGGAAACGGAACTCCGAAGCCACTCCCTTCTGTTTTGGAGCAATACAGAAACTGGAGTGGAAGGAAAAGAAAAGTCGAAGAAAGCGCTGAGAATTTGATAAGCCATGCTCTGTCGACTACAGGAGGCTGCCTCTTCTCACAAATCACCTCCAGCTTTCCTTCCAACCCTGACTCTAAGATGATACAACTGAAGAGAGACCTGTTGTCCCTCACAAAACAAATAACCCCAACCACAGTCTAACCCCTGCTCTCAGCTGCAGCTGAAGGATTAAGTAGGCTCTGCTCCCATTTCACAAGAAAGGAAGGTATCAAAAGACATAAAACCGTGTTGGCTGGCTTGGGAACTTGGCCTTTTCTTAGCTCCAGCTGTCAGTCACGGCCCTGTGTGTTTGAAGTAGCCAGGTACATTTGGTCTGCCCCATAGTTGTCTATAAACAGTGGCAGTGGCCGGAGCACATCAGAAAGAGCACTAGACTGGGGGTCAAAAGGCCTGAGTTTTTGACTCAGCCCTGTCTTTAATCTGGTTAGGTACCCCATACCCCTGGTTGAACAGGAAGATCACTAACCAGCTCTAACACTCATTCATTCGGTGGTGACTACAAATCCTTAAGAACTGAACATGAAACTCAAAGATACTGAATATCTAATCCTCCTTCCCTGAAAGGAGAACAGACAGAGCTGACCCAAACCTAAAACATCAGTGCCATTTGCCTACAGTGTATAGAGCCAGAGAGAGAATATAAATTCTTTTCTAAATTAGAACATTCCATCAAATCCAGACAGTTTTGAAAGCCTTGAAACCTGAAGCAAACATTAGGAGCTGTGTAGAGCTCAGGAGAGCAGAGAACCCAGAAGAAACCGCAGACCCAGTAGAAGGACAGTGGCTTACTTCTAGTGACAGAGGGCTGGTGAGCCTGGGTGGCTCAGCCAGTTAAGTGTCTGACTCTGGATTTTGGCTCAGGTCATGGTCTCACAGTTCATGGGATTGAGCCCCACGTCTGGCTCTGCGCTGAGAGTGCGGCACCTTTTTGAGAGAATCCCCCTCTCTCTGCCCCTCCCCTGCTTGCGTGTGTGTGCATGCACTCTCTCTCAAAATAAACATTTTAGAGACAGAGAGCTAAGGAATAGTGCTCATCCAATATAACAGCTGAAAGAGGGGCTCAAAAGCCTTCTGTGGGTGCATGGCTGATTGGAACAAATCTAACCCCTCACACCAATAGCCAAGGCCTTCTAATTCTGGTCCCCACCTGCTTCTCCAATCCCCATAGTAGGGTCAAAGGCAGGCTGCCCCAAGACGGACCACTCTGGCATGAAGATTATTTTGAGCTGAAGGCATTTGAGACCCTGCAGACTCAAGAGTAACTTTTACCTCTCCTTTAACTACATAAAAGAATCTAAATTGGCGGGGGGCAGGGAGGGTCCCAGAACAAGGGTTATTAGCAGAGATAAATTTTATCTGAGTGACCCATCTGTAAGGGCAAACGTCGAATTTAGCCAACATCTGTTCTTCTTCTTATCGTCCTGTGAAGTGTATTTCTTTCCTCTGAAGCCCCAGACTCCTAGGCCCCTTCTCCTTAGTTCAGGATGATGTACATACCTCATTTCGCCTGACTGCCTTTGGAATATCCATGTCTGCGTGGATTCCCCATATGTACACTACTGAATCTGATTTGCTCCTGTTATTCTGTCTCATATCAATGTGATTCTCAGTCCAGCTAGAAGGACCTTGAAGGGGAGAAGAATTTTTGCTTCTTAACCCCATCGGGTCACCCCAAGGACCCTATGCCGTAGTAACACTGAATGACTCAGCATTCCCAGAACTTGTCCTTACTCCGTGGCCTTTTGTTTAACTGTGCCTCCTTCTAGAATATTCTTTCATGCATCTCTGCCTAGTACACCTCCACATCCTTCAAATGCCACTTCAAAACACACAACCTCTATGAAGTCCTTCTCAAGCCTCATCCTTCCTCCTCCCACAAGAACATCCCTCCCTCCCAGCACTTTTCATCCTCCTTTACTGTCATATATGTGAAACCTGACTCATTTAATTAATAGTTTATCTCTCACAGTAAACTTTTTGAGGTCCTCCAAGGCAGGGATCTTGTTTTTGTTTATGTACCCACGTGTTGAACACAGGCATATCATGGAGATATGCTTTTCTTCAGGATGGCCTTGGTGCCTGTATCACATCAAGGGTACCCCTGAGCTGGAAGACTGGAAACACCAACTTTTGCTGTGTAGGAGTCAAGAAAGTTCGTCTACTTAGAGAAAAATCCTGAAGAATAAATTGTTTGTATTGAAGTAATCCCAGAGTTCTGCTTTGCTTCAAATTAACATGAAAAAAGCAGAACTTGGCAAGGTTAAAGTAATATTCTTTTTTTTTAAGTAATATTCTTATTCAAAATCAAAATTCTTAAGGACAATGAATTTTAAATTTTTTTTTTTTAACGTTTATTATTTTTGGGACAGAGAGAGACAGAGCATGAACAGGGGAGGGGCAGAGAGAGAGGGAGACACAGAATCAGAAACAGGCTCCAGGGTCCGAGCCATCAGCCCAGAGCCTGACGCGGGGCTCGAACTCACGGAGCGCGAGATCGTGACCTGGCTGAAGTCGGACGCTTAACCAGCTGCGCCACCCAGGCGCCCCAAGACAATGAGTTTTAAATAAGCATCAGAAGATTTCACATTTCAATGAAAAAGAGATCTAGGTGTTGAAAGAAATGACAGGAACTAGCAACTCGAGTTGGCCTGGCGGTCCCAAGTTCTTCAGTTCTGCTGACTCTTACCTGGACCAAATGTTGCCTGAAATAAGGAAAGTCACAGGCCAGCCCTCAAAAATTCACTCAGCGGGATTTGTCATCACGAACTCCAAACCTTTAAAGAGAAACAGTATGTGAGAAAGTATTTAAGCACAAAAAATTGAAGCCCAAGTATAAAAAATACACTCCCTGCTCCACTGTGATGGTTAATGTTATGCACCAACTTGACTGGGCTAAGGGATGCTCAGGTAGCTTGTAAAACACTACTTCTGGTGTGTCTGTGAAGGGGTTTCTGGAAGAGATTAGCATTTGAATCAGCAGACTGAGTAAAGAAGATTGCCCTCACCAGGGCAGGTGGGCATCATCCAATCCAATGACAGTCTGGACAGAACAAAAAGGCAGAGGGAGGGTACGTTTGTTATCCGCTTGAACTGGATTTCCATCTTCTCCTGCCCAAGAACATCGGTATCCCTGGTTCTCAGGCCTTCAGGTTTGGACCGGAGCTACATCATCAGCTTTCCTGGGCTTCCAGCCTCCATAATCTTGTGAGCCGATACCTCATAATAAATCTCTTTCTGTCTATCTATATATATTCTTTTGCTTCTGTTTCTCTAGAGAACCCTGAATAATACACTCATGAAAACAAAAAAAAAAACTTTTTAAACTCATATGAGGGAGCACCTGGGTGGCTCAGTCGGCTAAGCATCCAACTCTTGGTTTCAGCTCAGGTCATGATCTCATGAACAGTTGGTGAGTTGGAGCCCTGCGTTGGGCTCTGCGCTGACAGTGTGGAACCTACTTGCAATTCTCTCTCTCCTCTCTCTGCCCCTCCCCCGCTCTCTCCTCTCTCTCTCTCTCAAAATAAATAAATAAAATTAAAAAACAAACAAAAAGGGACTTCTGGGTGGCTCAGTCAGTTAAAGGTCTGACTTTGGCTCAGGCCATGATCTCATGGTTTGTGAATTCGAGCCCCACACTGGGCTCTCTGCTGTCAGCACAGAGCCCACTTTGGATCCTCTGTTTCCCTCTCTCTCTTCCCCCCCCCCCCCCCCCAATAAATAAATATTTAAAAACAAACAAACAAACTCATATGTGAGTACACTAGATATTTGATTAAACCAGTGAGTGAGGAATTGTGGTATGTGAAAAAAAAAAAAAAAAAACCTGTTCCTTTTAACTTATAACAACCTGACATCCACTTTTTGAAGCATTGCCCAGAACTACTGGAGGAAAAAACAGAGGGCCAGAGCGTAAAGACCTTGCAGAGTCTTCAGGTAGTAGAAGGTGCACCTTTTGCGGGGTCCAGAGGACCAAGTTCATGCATCTGAGACATGGGTTCTGGTCATCTGAGCTGGCAGGCCTCCAGGTCCTTGGCTACAAGCATACAATGGAGAATGTGGCTATGAAGGGGCCAGAGTTGGGCTGGGGCGAGGTGGAGCGTTCACCCACAGCTGAGAGTACCTCCTGAGGAAGCCCTGCCCATCTCTGGACCCTGTGGCAATAGATTCCTGACTTCTGCTTCACTCCTGTGTGCACTCAGCTCTTCCAAAGTGAGAAAGATTAAGCTCAACTTCAGCATCCTCCAGCCGTGGCCGTTTTCACTCGTGGACTTCCCTGGTAGGAGCAGGCCTCTCCACCCATAGCCCCAAGTCAGCACTGGGCAGAAAGAGGGAAGGTGAGTCTCAAGGCACAAAAATAATGGCTTTGTCCTATCTCCTCGATATGATGGGATTATTATACAAGACCATTTTCCAATGGAAATCTTTGTCCTCACTGAGTCCTCAGGCCTTGTTCTCTTGTGCCCCTTTGGCAATTTCAACGGACAAGAACTTTAATGGGAGTGTGTGTGTGTGCTCGGGGTTAGTAAAAACCTCACAGAATTCAACCACACAGAAACCTCAGTCAGATTTTTTTTTTTTAAGATTATACGAGAAAAAAACAAACTGACAAAGAACTGATGTCAAGAATTTAGCATTTTAAAAATCACACACAGGGGCGCCTGGGTGGCTCAGTCAGTTAAGTGTCCGACTTTGGCTCAGGTCGTTATCTCATGGTTTGTGAGTTGGAGACCCACATCGGGGTCTGTACTGACAGCTCGGAGCCTGGAGCCTGCTTCGGATTCTGGGTCTCCCAATTTCTCTCCCCCTCCCCTGCTCACCCTCTGTCTCTCTCTCAAAAAAATAAATGTTAGAAATGTTTTTAAAATAAAAATCACACACAATTTCCAGCTTTCCAGTGAGATCAGTGCTTTCTAACAGTGACCCAGAGGAAATGCAAAGATTCCCGTCCAAGATAATGAGTATCTCTAGACAGGCCAATAAAATGATGGCATTTGGAACAATTTAGATTTGAAATAAAAGAGCTGGCCAATATTCACATTCCAATTATTCATAGTTAACAGTTAACAATGTTATCTGAGAAAGGGTAAAGGGACAGACCCCTGGGTGCAGAGAGCTGTTGGGATAGGTAGGTGAATGACTGACAGGTGGAGAGAGATATGATATAGACAGATAGTAATGACACATTGAAGGTAAATGGTGGAGGCATAGGGTAGACAGATCTCCAGCTGAGTCATAGATACATTAGTCTCTGAGAAACACTGGTTTCTTCCATTGGACCAGTACCACCTACCTCATTCTAACCAGGAACGTTTGTCAATGACATTTGTACATTTGTTACTTTGTCATTTACAAAGCACACTTCAACTAGTAAAAGGAAAAGAAACCAAAAAGTATTGACTGCACCCTATGCCATGCACTGTATCTATATGTGGTTCCCAACAAGTGTTCCCAGAACTCTAAGAGTTTGACCAGTGAAATCCATCCAGGATGGGCTCCCAAATGAGATTTATTTAATGTTTTTGTTTTTGAGAGAGAGAGAGAGAGAGAGAGAGAGAGAAGAAGAAGAAGAAGGAGGAGGAGGAGGAGGAGGAACAGGGGAGGGGCAGAGAGAGAGGGAGAGAGAGAATCACAAGCAGGCTCCGTGCTGTCAGCACAGAGCCCTATGTGGGGCTTGATCCCATGAACCATGAGATCATGACTTGAGCTGAAATCAAGAGTCAGACACTTAACCAACAGAGCCACCCAAGTGCCCCAAATGAGATTTATTTAAAGACAGCTGACTGAGCCAGAGCAAGTTTGTGACTGTGAAGAAAGTCACGTGATTAACATGTACCTTCCTGAAGGGTCACCATATTGTCTGACACGTTCTTTTTGGCCCAGAAATCCCAAGGTTCTTTGGTTCAATTTCAGAGTGCTTCTCTAAGTTAATTTGTTACCATATTTTTGAGGACCTGCCAGATGGGGTGCAGCCAAGGCCTCTCTAATGCACCTAATGTCAGATTATCAGAATTCTCATCTACTTCACATAGCTTCTTTAATCAGTTGAACATGCAAGAGGAGCAATTTTGAACCGTGATCTACAGGTCACCCATGTTGTACTTTACAGGCTCCTTGATAATAGTGTAATATGAGATAATAATAAAGTTTGACTTTATGTATACAACTTTAAAATAATGCAACTCACTGGAATGAAAAAAAAAAATCTTAATCGGGGGGCACCTGGGTGGCTCAGTCGGTTGAGCCTCTGACTTGATTTCGGCTCAGGTCATGATCCCAGAACAGTGGGATTGAGCCCTGAATTGGGCTCCACACTGAGTGTGGAGACTGCTTGGGATTCTTTCTCGCTCTCTCCCTGTCCCCTCCCTGACTCTCTCTCTCTCTCTCTCTCTCTCTCTCTCAAAAAAAAAATAATAATAACAACAATAAATTAATTTAATTTAATTAAAAAAACTTAGGACACAATTTCAAAGCAGGGATATAGTGTGACTGGTGTTTACATTCCTGCCACACGGTGGCGCCACATTAGCCAGTAAACGGAAATCCTTGCTGGGTCCTACCAGTATTGTCTGAACTAGGCTGTGGTTTACAGAGTTTCTTCCAGTAATTGTGGTGGCTTTTATTTCGTTTTTGTGCCTTCAAATCTCTTTAAATATCTTATAACAGTGTCATCCAGACATTCCATAAGCAGTAGTGCTACTGAATTGATTACAATAAAGGGGATTAGCTGTGTAACACCCAGTGATATCCTCTGCTGTTCATTAGCAGAGACCACACCATAAAATATTAGAGATAATACTGAGATAATATAAAGCAAAAGTATTCTCCAGAGGGCTGTTGACTGATGTTTTCCTAGAATGCATTTCCCTAAGAAGCATTCTTCAGGGAAAATGAGCAGTGAGTGATGGGGGCACTTGGGATCCCTGCCCTGAATAGAAAGGGTTTGTTTATCTCAGATTCTCGGCCATATGCTGGGAGATCTCTAGTAACCAGACTATGACCTAGCTGCTGGTTCATTTAGCAGTTAGGCCCATGGACCATGGAGTGAGGCAACCTGGGTTCAAATCCTGTTCCCACCACTTCCCAGCAGTGTGATTTTGGGCAACTCATGAACTCTCTGCGTCTTATCAGAAAAATGTGCGCCCCGCAGTGCCTGGTTCACAGGGCTGCTGTGTGAGAGCTAAATGGCAGTGATCTAGTAGGGGCTTATCACAGTCCCCGGAACAGAGTAAGTGCTCGTTCAATGTTAGCCTCACTTCTCCTCCTCAGCAATGCCATGGGGCTGTGCCAGATCCCCGGGAGATGGAGACTTCCCATCACAGAGAGAATTCTTTCCTTTTCATCTCTATTCATATCTGACACGAAACTAACCATGTCTTCTCGGAAAATCAGTGTGTTATTCTGTTCCTTGCCAATCTTATTTTGAAATCCATGAGAAAACTTGAATTTTCCTGAAATCGTAGGAAAGTCTCTTATAGCCCCATGAATCAAGGCTGGCAAGACATTGGCAGAGTCTTCAGGGACCTGTCCCTCTCCTTTGCCATGTCTGTGTCTCCTCTGGGCTTCTCTGACCACCTCCTCACATCCCTGGACACAGCACCCCATGAGCCAGGCCCAGAGTTCTCCCCACCCCTCCATCAAAACCTCAGGGAGCTGCACTCCATTAGAGACTTCTCTGGAGGCTCTCTTGCCGTCTCTGGGGAACAGGATTTTTTAAGGATGAGTAAAAGGGTGAGAAAGGAAATCAGGTTACAGGGACATTTCTCCCTCTCCTCAGAGCAGCATTTAAGTGGAAAGATTTAACGGGGTCAGTTTGAGGGCTGGGGGGTGGAGGTTGCTTCTGATTGGGAGACTCTGACCAGGGACCTGCTAACGCAGCAGTTCAGGCCCAGAAGAGGGAGGGCAGGAGGGACTTCTTGGAGGTCTGTCTCTGCCCGCCTTCAAAACCTTTCTGTTTTTTCCCCATAGACCTAAAAGGTTTTGCCTACCAAATTGCGTTTTTATTTTTATTTATTTTTTAGAGAGAGAGTGAGTGCAGGAGCGGGGGAGAGGGGCAGAGGGAAAGAGACTCTTAAGCAGGCTCCATGCTTAACACAGATTCCAATGCAGGGCTTGATCCCACAAACCATGAGATTATGACCTGAGCCGAAATCAAGAGTCAGATGTTCAACCGATTAAGCCATCCAGACACCCCTCAAACTGCATTTTTAAAAGAGTTTATTAATTTACTTTTCTCTCTCTCTCTCTCTCTCTCTCTCTCTCTCTCTCACACACACACACACACACACACACACACGCACACACCCCTGGGTATATAAACAAAAAAGGAGCCTCAGGGAGGATTGTCGGGGTGATAGAACAAGCAATACAAGCCTCTAGGATTGGTCTAGGATTCAGAGGTCCTGGCTTTGATGAAGCTCTAGAAAGAGCCCTGGAGACCTGGACAGTTGCCCTTAACTTAGTCACTAATTTGCTGTGTGACCTTGGGCAAGTCACTTTTTGTAGCCTTATTCTGGAAAGTGAGGGGGGTCTGACAGCATGATCTCTCCAGTGCCTGAGAGACACCCAGTCTTTGTCTCTTCCATAGTTCCTTGCACGGCACCCAGCACGAAGTAGATACATGGTATATAAGGTGTTCAATGAGTGCATAATAAAAACAGCAGCAGTGGCTGGACATCTCCCATAGGTCAAGTACCGAGCCAGGGACCTATGTGGACATTATGTATAATTCTGACAACACTTCGAGGTAGAGGTTTCTTTTCTTTTTTTTTTTTTTTAATTAATTTTTTCATGTTTATTTATTTTTAAGAGAGACAGAGCACGAGTGGGGGAGGGGCAGAGAGCGAGGGAGACACAGAATCCAAAGCAGGCTCCAAGCTGTCAGCACAGCGCCTGATGAAGAGCTCTAACTCGTGAACCGTGAGATCATGACCTGAGGCGAAGCTGGACACTTCACTGACTGATCCACCCAGGCGCGCTGGTAGGGATTTCTTTCTTTCTTTTTTTCAATATATGAAGTTTATTGTCAAATTGGTTTCCATACAACACCCAGTGCTCATCCCAAAAGGTGCCCTCCTCAATGCCCGTCACCCACCCTCCCCTCCCTCCCACCCCCCATCAACCCTCAGTTTGTCCTCAGTTTTTAAGAGGGAGGGATTTCTTTTTAATTTCTGATGCAGGAAGCTGAGTTGATCGTGCCTCTCGGTGAGTAGCCCATTGTTGTCATTGGTCTGTGCGATGCTCTTTTCTGGTTTGATCCCCTAACCCCCTTCACTAATCGCCACCCTTCTTCATCTCCTCTCATAGGCATCTAGTCTCACGTCTTTGATATCTCTATACATACGCAGGTATTCTTGTGAAATATGTCCTCTTGTTTTGTGCGTGCTTGTGTTTTGTATTTCTCTCCATGGTATTGTGATACATATGTTCCGCCTCTTACATTTTTTCCCAACACTGTTTTGAAGAGTCACGTTGCTGTATGTGTGTCTAGTCCACTGCCTCACCTGCTGTCTAAACCGCACAGTTGCTGGCCCCACAGCTTACTTGTCCATCCCCCTGGCAGGGAAAACCTTCACTACCTCTTCTGTCCGCTACCACAGACACCATATTCACGATGAATATCCTCCTAGACATCCCCTTCTGTATCTCCTGTAAGAGAACTTCCGTGGGAAATAAAGGGCGGACTTGCTGGGTCACAGGGCGCGTGCAAAGTAGAGATTATAGTCCCAATTTTAGAGCTGAAAAACCATGCTCACAATTACACAAACAGAAATTGGGGATCTAGGATTCATTTCCAGTATTTCTGCCTCCAGATCCTGGTCCAGTTCCAAGGCGCCTCTATAAATAACTAAATCTGGTCCAATCAACTCCACAAGCAGTTTCTCTGTTATGCGGATCTCAGTAACGAACTCAGATAAACCGACTGGGTTGTCTAGACATCTTGGCATTTGCTGTTAAGGGCGTGCTCGCCGCGGTGGGTACGTCGCCCTGAGACTGTGGCTTGAGGAACTCTGGCTTCTTTGAATTACTGAGGATCCCTTGCACGTTACAGCAAAAAACAGTCAAAATCATGTCCCACGTGTATCGTCTTACTTCTCATAACAACCCTGTGAGGTAGGAACAGTCATCATTTCCACTTTATGGTGAAGGAAACTGAGGTTCGGCATCAGTTAGCTGCAAAGTGGCAGGGCTGAGAACTAACCCCAGGCTTCTGGGCCCAAGTCTAGTGTAATTTCCACCCCCACCCCCACCCCCACCCCTCTGGAGCTGGTAGCCTAGGAAAACAAGCCTGCCCCCCACAGTCAGGCATTTGGATGAGATCACAAAAGTTCAGAACCTTGAGCCAGTTGTTTGCAAATCCTGTCTGCAGATGTCTGGCGTTCAGCGGGGCCAGCTCCAGCCAGGAGAGACCCCAGCTGGCACACAGAAGGGGGAGGAACCTGGCGCCAGGGAGTGTTTCTTGCCGGGGCGGTTCCCGAAGCTACAGAATTCCACACCGTTTTGGCTGGTGGTGGCAAGGTGCGGTGACCTGAACCAATGAGGGGGCGACCTGGTTTCTCTCTCCTGGGCCTCCCCCAGCCAGTGAGAAATGTCAGTGGTGGCAGAAAAGAACAACAACAAACGGACTCTGCTTTTGAAGTCTTTCCTGAAACATACGTCTAGTTTACTTTATTCCGTTCCGTTCAGCTTGCAAAGCCGTGCACTTGGAAAGACGTACTGTAGTTCCGTTTAACAAACATTTACTAACTACCTACCGTGTCCCAGAAAGGGTGCTCAGCCCTGGGGCCTCAAATGATTAAGCTCCCGAACCACGAGCCACTGAGCAAGGAATGTAACCCTTGAGAGCGGAGGGCAATACGCCAGTACCTGCTGCACAGGGTGGTTGCTGGGCCAGCAGCGTCTCAGCACAGAGTAAGCTCGACGAGCAGTTGAGTATGAGTACTCAACGTGGGAAGTGAGGAAGGTGGTAAATACGAAATGTTAGGGAGCCCAGGAGAGAGAGAGTGGATGGTCCCTGGAGAGAGCAGTGAGGCCACAGCAGGCTCTTCTGAGCAGAGATGATACTAACTGATACGGAGCCGTGGAACAAGTTCCCTGGGCAAGAGGCACAGGCAGCAGAGGGAAGTGTGGGTGACACTATGATGTCCCTGCCTTCTGTGAAGTGCCCGTACTCCGTGCTGCTTTGCCTCCATCTGTAGCCTGTGCGGGCCCCTCTCGGGCCCTGGCAGCCTGAGGTTGCACCTACATGCTCCCAGGCCCGTCTCTCCCCCAGACTCGAGTGCCTGAGGCCTACAACTGCGTGGTCAGCTCTTAGCACGGGGTCGTACACAAGGGCAGTCCTCATCAGAAATGTGTGAGGTGACTGAAAAACACAGAGGCATAAAAGAGCATGAACCACATGAGCAGTGGTGAGGAGATCTGCCAGCTGGCCTGGGGAGAAAACATTGGGACCGGCAGGGATCAAAGCTGGAAGCCAGCAGTGTTTAGGATGTCAAGGGCCCTGTGTAACAGGCAGGGGATTTGTCTGGATGGCTCGGATTAGGGTGGTAGCAGGAGGAGAGATGAAATGCAGGAAAAAGAAAGGATCGGTCGCTAAATGGATTTGCATGGGGTGAGGGGTTCGTGGAAGGAGTTGGGGATGGCATTCTGCTGCATCCTGAACTGGCTTCCTGCTTGGATAGTTTACCATGTTTGCACAAGGGTCGACAAATATTTATTCAAATGGGACTTCTGACATTCTGCTGTGGTTGATTGGTTCCTATCTTGACTTCTTAGCCTGGAAGGTACTTGTATTGGTCAGGGTTCTACAGAGAAACAGAACCAGTATGTATATATATGTGTGTGTAGGGGTCGGGTTGGGGGGGTGTATGAAGGGAAGGGGAGAGAGAGACAGAGAGATTTGTTTTAAGGAACTGACTCATATGATTATGGAGGTGCAAGTCCAAAGATCTACAGGGTAGGCCAGCAGCCAGAGACCCAGGCAAGAGTCACAGTTCAAGTCCAAAGGCCATCTGCTGATAGAATTCTTTCTTTTTCAGGGGAGATCAGTTTTTGTTCTATCTAGGCCTTCAGCTTATTAGATGAAGTTTGCTCACGTTATGGAGAGCTATCTGCTTTACCCAAAGTCCACCAATTTAAATGTTAATCTCATGCAAAAACACCCTCACAGAAACATCCAGGATAATGTTTGATCAAATATCTGGGCACCATGGCCCAGCCAAATTGATGCATTAAATTAGCCATCACAGTACTCTAAGAAAACAGCCTCATTCCTGACATGGGTAGTCCCTCTGCAATAGAGACATTCTCTCTCTCTCTCTCTCTCTCTCTCTCTCTCTCTCTCTCTGTTATTTTCACACTCCAACAGGGTCACTTTGGGAAAAATTTCAGGGAATGTGTCCAGCCCTGTATTGCCCACATAGGCCATGCCATCCATTGTCCTCTTATCCCGGGGCCAGGACATATTCGTAGGAAGAAGTTTCTTTTGGCCTAGCTTCAAGTTCACTTATCCTTTCTTCTGCCAGCTCTAATCTGACTTTGAATTCCTCTAGTGATTTTTTTTTTTTCATTTGTTACTGCTTTTTTCAGCTTCAGAATTTCTTCTTGATTTTTAAGTTTTCTTTCTCCTTACTGCCATTTTCACTTCATACATCATTTTCTTGACTTTCTTCACATCTTCCTTTAGTTCTTTGAACATCTTTATGATGGGTACTTTAAAGTCTTTGTCCAGCATACCTGCCGTTAGGTCT